GAATGTGTTCAGGTGTTCCTTCCTCTTCAGTTGTTTTGGAAAAGTTTGAGAATGATAGGTGTTAATACATTTTGGGGTGTTTGGTAGCATTTACCTGTGAAGCTATCTGGTCCTGACCTTTGTTTGTTGGGAGTATTTTTATTACCAATTCAATTTCTTAACTGATAATCAGTCTGTTCATGTTTTCTACTTCTTCCTGATTCAGTCTTGGGAGATTGTATGTTTCTAGGAATTTATTCTTTTCTTCTAGGTTATCCATTTTATTGGCATGTAATTGTTCATAGTAATCGCTTGTGATCCTTTGTATTTCTGTGGTATTGCTGACATCTCTTTTGTTTCTGATTTTTATCAGCTGAAAAATCTGTTGATAATCTTATGGGGGTCCCTTGTAACAAGTTGTCTCTCTCTTTCTGCTTTTAATAGTCTCTCCTTTGCTTTAACTTTTGATATTTTAATTACAGTATGTCTTGGTGTAGATCTCTTTGGGTTCTTTTTGTTTGGGACTCTGTGCTTCCTGGACTTGGATGTCTGCTACCGTATCTTCCAGATTGCTGATATATTCTTCTGCATCCTCTAATCTGCTGTTGATTCCTTCTAGTGTATTTTTCATTTCAGTAACTGTATTCTTCAGTTCCTTGTTTTCTCTTTTATATTTTCTATCTCTTTGTTTAATTTCTTACTGATTTTATTTTTTTTCTCCCAAGTTCAGTGAGCATTTTTTGTGACTATTACTTTGAACCCTTCATCTGGTAAATTGCTTATATCCATTTCATTTAGTAATTTTCCTGGGGTTTTGTCTTGTTCTCTCATTTGGAAGGTATTCCTTGTCTCCTCATTTTGCGTTAACTCTCTGTGTTAATTTCAGTGATTAGGCATATCAGCTACATCTCTCACTCCTGAGAGAGTTGCCTTGTATAGGTGTCCTATGGGGTCCTTTGGCTCAATGCCCCCTGGTCCCCAAAGCCAGGTGCTCCTGAGGTACCTTCTTTGTGGGCTGTGTGTGCCCTCCCATTGTGGTTGTGGATGCACCAGTGGGCAGGGCTGGCCCCTAGCTCATCTGGCTGGTTGTCCCGACCATGACTGCTGTGGGTGTGCTGGTGTGTGGGGCCAGCCCTCTCTGGTGGGATCTGCTTTGGGGGGCATTGGTGCTGGCCAGGGCTGCCTGTCAGTTGAGTGCGGTAGGAGCTGCTTTGGAGAGGTGGGTTGGGTGGGGCGGGTCCTCAGGGGAACACCAGGGCAGGGCGCATGGTGTTAGGTAGGTTGATTGAGAGTGATAGAAACGGCCCCACCAGCACCGGGCCTGCTAGTTGGAAGGAGAGTAAAAAAAAGCTCTCCAGCCAGTACTTATGTCCTTGGAGAAAGTTTCCCCAGGTCCTTCCCTGCCTCGCATCCACCCTAATATTAGTCAGTGAATCTACTTCAAGAGTGGAGTCTCAGTTCCCCACAGCCCCCCAGCCTTCCCGGATAGAAGCCCCACTGATTTTCCAAGCCAGACGCGATGGGGGCTTGTCCTCCTGTAGCTGGTCAGACCCGTTGCTCCTCAGGGGAACGTTGCGGTTGTGATACCCTCCTGCTTGTGGGTCACTTACTTGGGGCTGTGGGTTCTGACTGGACTGCATCTCTGCCCCTCCATCCCGTCTCCGTGTGGCCCTTCTTCATATCCTTAGTCATAGAAAACCTGTCCTGCTGGTTTTCAGGTTGTCCTCAGAGAGTTGTTCTACGGGTACTTGTGGTTTTGGTGTGCCCGTTGGGGGAGTGGGGCTCAGGGTCTTCCAACTCTGCTCTCCTGATCTGGACTCTAGTCTCTAATAAGTTATTTTTTAATTCTATAAACAACTTTGAAAAGTAGTTATTCTTTTTTTTTTTTAATTTAATTAATTTATTTATTTTTGGCTGCTTTGGGTCTTTGCTGCTGTGCGCGGGCTTTCTCTAGTTGCGGCGAGCGGGGGCTACTCTTCGTTGCGGTGCGTGGGCTTCTTATTGCGGTGGCTTCTCTTGTTGCAGAGCACGGGCTCTAGGCGCACAGGCTCAGTAGTTGTGGCTTGAGGACTGTAGAGCACAGGCTCAGTAGTTGTGGTGCACAGGCTTAGTTGCTCCGCGGCATGTGGTATCTTCCCGGAGCAAGGATGGAACCTGTGACCCCTGCATTGGCAGGCGGATTCTCAACCACTGCGCCACCAGGGAAGCCCTGAAAAGTAGTTATTCTTACCAGCTTTGTTTTAAGATGAGAAAACTGAGGCTCAGAAGAACTCACAAGCCGTGGTGTGAACCTAGATCTGTCTGGCTCCAAATCTCCTTTTCCTTTGATTACAAAACACTGACTCACATACAGGGTATTATTTTGTTATTGAATTCCTGCAAAGAGAAAGACATTATTCCAATTTCGGGGCTGAAGAAGCAAGTTAGAGACATTTGAGGTCTTCACAGAGTTAGGAAATTGCCAAGAAAAGATGTGAACTTATTTTGGAAGGGTTTTATAAACTATGTTTTATTTCTTTATACCTTGCTGGATAAGGTTTGCTATTATTTTATTTAGGATTTTGTTTAGGATTTTTCTTTCAGATATTTTGTTTAGGATTTTTATTTCTATATAAATTAATGACACAGACCTGAAAATTTCCTTTCCTATGTTTGATTTTTTTTTTTGATTGAAAAGTTTATTTTAGACTCAAAATAAATTGGGGAGCATTCTTTCTTTTTTATTTATCTTCTATTTATGAACTGTTTGATGGGATTGGAATAATATGTTCCTTGAATGATGCTTTTTATTTTTTTAATTGGAGAAGAGGATTGGGGTAAATTTTAAATGTTCGTTTATCGGTCTATTAAAGTTTTCTTAATAAATTTATTTATTTTATTTATTTTTGGCTGCATTGGGTCTTTGTTGCTGTGCGTGGGCTTTCTCTAGTTGTGGCGAGTCAGGGCTACTCTTCATTGCAGTACGTGGGCTTCTCATTGCAGTGGCTTCTCTTGTTGTGGAGCATGGGCTGTACGTGTGCGGGCTTCAGTAGTTGTGGCACGCGGGCTCAGTAGTTGTGGCGCACAGGCTCTAGAGTGCAGGCTCAGTAGTTGTGGCTCACTGGCTTTGTTGCTCCATGGCGTGTGGGATCTTCCTGGACCAGGGCTCAAACCCGTGTCCCCTGCATTGGCAGGTGGATTCTTAACCACTGCACCACCAGGGAAGCCCTAACGTTTTCTATTTCTTATTTAGCTTGGCATATCATACGAAAATTTCCACTTTATCTAAATATTCAAATTTCTTATGATATACCTGTTGATAGTACTTTTTCTAATTTGTAAAATTGCTGCCATTTTTGTAGTTCGGATCTCCCTTTTATTCCTAAAATTATTTATTTTTGTTATCTCTTTTTTTCCCTGAGAAATGATGACAAACTGTGTTGATTTTATTATTTTCAAATAATTAGTTTTGGCTTTATCAATCCTTCTTTTTTACATGTCACTAAAATGTTAATCTTGATAATTTCTTTCTGTCACTTTCTTTTTTTTTTTTTTTTGCGGTACGCGGGCCTCTCACTGTTGTGGCCTCTCCCATTGCGGAGCACAGGCTCCGGACGCGCAGGCCCAGCAGCCATGGCTCACGGGCCCAGCCGCTCCGCGGCATGTGGGATCCTCCCAGACCGGGGCACGAACCCGTGTCCCCTGCATCGGCAGGCGGACTCTCAACCACCGTGCCACCAGGGAAGCCCTATCACTTTCTTTAAAAATGTTCTCCTTTTAACTTCTTTAGCTAAGTTTCATGCTTAGCTCACTAACTTTTATTCTAACTTCTTTTCTAATATAAGCACTTAATGATATAAATTTCTGTCTATTCACAATTTTAGAGGCATTCAGTACATTTTTATGAATATTTTTGGTGTTATTTAAATTCAAGTATTTAAAAAATTTCCCATTAATTCTTTTTGCCCTGCAAAATTAATTAGAAGTGCTCTTATTAACTTGCACATGTAAGACATTTTGTTTTATTTTTCTTATTTATCTTCCATTATTGATTATGTGGTTAGGGAACATAGTGTCTAAGACACTATGAATTTTGTAGCCTTACTTTGTTATTTAAGATATTTCAAACATGTTCCTTATTTACTTGAGCAGAATGTATTCTATATTAGGAGTCATAGCAATCAGAGAAAGGTTTTTAAAAAAAATTTTATTGGAATATAGTTGATTTACAATGTCGTGTTAGTGTCAGGTGTACAGCAAAGTGAACGAGTTATACATATACATATATCCACTCTTTTTTAGATTCTTTTTCCGTATCGGTCATTACAGAGTATCGAGTAGAGTTCCCTGTGCTGTACAGCAGGTCCATATTAGTTATCTATTTTATATAGAGTAAGAGAAAGGTTTTTAATTAATATCCTCATTGTTCAAAAGTTCCCTGACCTCCTTGATACCTGTAGCATGAAAAATATGAAGAAATGTGCTTAGGTCAGTGGTGTGGTGTTTCTCTGTCCCGTTAAAACCTCGAGGGAGGTTCGTTGGATTAGTTCTCTGCATTTTGTTACCGAACAGAAACTCTCCACTGTCAGGTTTTATGCTCCATCGGACCGGCAGGTTATTTTTGAGCACATACGATGTTTTCAGTTCTAGTCCACACTGATCAGGACTCTTGAGTTGATGAAGAAGAATTCTCAGTGGATCTCAAGGCTCCAATTAATTGTCCCAAGATGTCAGGTGTCCTTGCTGTAATTCTTGTAGACTTTACAAGGTGGACAGCAGAAGGAGGTGGAGGAAGGTACGTGTAGTGTGCGGGGTGGCTGGGAGAGTCCTGGGAGAGGCTGGTAGGGGCGTGTGCAGACTGCAGCTGGCCCGAGGCGGGTGTGTGCACACACTTGACCTTTGCCTTCAGTGTCCTATAAATGCACTTTCACAGAGGGTGTGGCCGAGGAAATGGGATGAAGCAGAGAAGCTGTGATACCCTGCTTGCTCTTCCTCTTCTCTCAGCCTCTCCAGGAATCGAAACCTAAGGCAGGAGACTTGGCTGGTGTAGAGAGGGCACTGCCAGGGCCTCGGTCTGAGCAGCAGTGCGCTCTGTTCCAGGTCTTCCCGGGGCCTCCCAGGACACCTGACCCCATCCTGCAGCAGCTGCCGGCCGTTGGGTGTGAGGAGGGAACCACAGATCACAGGTAGGAGGGGGTTTGGTGCCTTGTTTACAGATAAGGCAGAGAAAAAAGTGAGCGCATGTGTTTGGGGATTGTTTAAGGAAAGAAGTGACTGCTAATAGCTGAGATAAACTTGAAAGTTAGACTCGGGGTGGCAGAATGGTGCTGCTTTCAGTCCCAAGACTAAGTCACTTATTTGAAAGTAAATTAAGTCCAAATGTCCCCTTTGGATTGAATTCATATTTTTTAAACATAGCAAGACTTGGTACCAGCTTGATTATTTTAAAAAACGTGATGCACAATTTTGCATTAAGTTTATAGCTTAATGTAACTGACAGACATGCGAAGGACACAAGCGTTTGTGTGAGTGTGTCTGTACGTGTGTGTATATGTGTGTGTATCTGCGTGTGTGTGTTTATATCAATGAGGAGCTTGGCAGCATTGATAGAGAAATAATGGCATTAACAAGTGAGAAATCTACCTTAAATGCTGGTTTATAAACTTGGATTTAAAAATACTGTCAGCATAGTTTTCTTAACTGTATTTCTATGTTTAATAGCTAAGAACTGCCTTTTACTTTAGGGTAGGGGGTGATTTGTGACTCAGCTAAATTGGGGTTCTCTGAACAGCGAAGTGTACTTGCAACGTTTCAGTGAAACTGGAAATCAAGGGCAAAGTCAGTTCTTGTCTGTAGTTATCCAAGTCCAACTGTGCGGCTCCCTGGAGCAGCTGCGTACCTGCCTGTGACCTCAGCAGTGCTGTTAGCCTCCTGGGAAAGATGGGGCGTGGCATCAGACAGACTCACCGCTTCAGCTTACTCGCAAGCTTTTACAAAACCTCTCTGATCCTCTGATGACTCGCCTCTAAAATGAGAGATAATAACTCCAACAATATGACATTATTCAGAGGGCTATGGGAGAATGTCTGGAAAAGACTTTTCAAAGAAACTCCTTTTATATTAAAAATACTGATCTATTATGTGGTAGAATGCAACATTTATATGCATTTTTACTAAAAAAGGTAAAGTTAGAGGTTTCCCCAGATCCTGTGCCGTTGGGTATTTCAGGGGAAGCATGTGAGAAAAAAAATATCATTTGTGCTCATCATTAAGACAAGCATGATTGTCTAGGAGGATGTGCTTGCAGCTGTTTCTTGGTACAATTGGCCGGTGGGCTTAATCGAATAATGTTTACACGTATTCTGTCTGGGGACCAGGGAAGACCCTGATGCTCTGTGAGCAGCACACCTGGGGCGAGTCCAGGGTGGGGCTACATTCCTCAGAACTGCTGCCGCCCTGTTTCTCCAGAATACTCCTACCTGGTCTTTATCTGACAAACCCCTTCGAACTCAAGCTGAAGCATCCTCTCCCCTGAGAAGCCTTATTCACTTCTCCCGGGCACTACCCCCTGGTGTTGTGCTCTAAATACTTTGTTTACCAGCTGCAGTGCAGCCCTCATCATGTCATTTCTTAGTCTGCGAACTTGTCTCTCACTTTCTCTAGACTGGGTTCTTCTAGACACTAGCGGCCTTGAGAATATTGCCTAGAATAATATCTAATATTATATTAAATGCCCAGTAAAAGATGATTGAGTGGATTAATGAATGAACGAATGAACATTCATCAAAGTGAAATTATATTTATGGGCAATTGCATTTGCTGAAAAAAGCCAGAAACAGGAAGGGTTGGAAATGCGGCAGAGTGGTCAACACTTTTACTTCTTCTCACATTATATTTATGCTTTCATGCTTTGTGAGGGAAATATATTTTTACTGCTATTTTAAAGAAAAGGAAACTGCAGCCCAGAGAGATCAAATGATTGCCCACTTACTGCATTGGCAGTATCACAGTGATGCATTTTGATGATGTTAAAAAACAAAATTCAACTGAGTAGATTTGAAGGTCTAATTGGCTGTATTCAAAGACTCATGAATCAGGTACCATCCCATCCAGCAAGTAGAAAGGAGCTCCAAGGAGCTGTGCAAAATGGAAGGTTTTTATAGACGTAAAGGGGCGAGATAAGAGAAGAGCAGATGACCTTATCTTTCTTTGGGCGATGGAAGGGGTCTGTCAGATGGATTGCCTCACCACTGCTGACCAGGAAATTCCAGACTGACTGGTTTTAGACCACGATTGAGGTACAATAAGTCCCCTATGTATGAATGAATTCCGTTCCGAGAGCACGTTCGTAAGTCCAGTTTGTTGCTAAGTCCAACAAAGTTAGCCTAGGTACCCGACTAACACAGTCGGCTGTATGGTACTGTACTGTAATAGGTTTATAATACTTCTCACACAAATAATACATAAAAAACAAGCAAACACAAAAAATAAAGAAAAGCTTTTTAATCTTACAGCTCAGTACCTTGAAAAGTACAGTAGTGCAGTGCAACAGCTGGCATCCAGGGGCTGGCATCGAGGGAACAGGCAAAAAGAGTTACTGACTGGAGCGGGGGAGAGGAGGTGGGAGATGGTAGAGCTGAAGGATCGTCAACAATAGGAGACGATGGGCAGGCTGCAGTTTCACTCACGCCTGACCTTGATGGCACAGGATCTGGTTCCTTGCTGGACTCAATTCTATCCACCCTCTTAAAAAAATGATCCAGTGATGTCTGGGTAGTACTGTACCAGCTACATCACTGCTGCTTTTACGCTTGCTTCCGGACATCCTGGGCTTGAAACAAAGATACTGAACCACTGTGCTCTATACAGTCCTGTACAGTAAAGCACACGAAAGCACAACCACTTGTACGGGATGCATGCATGTGACAGTGTATGCCAGACACGTGTGCTAACTTACGTGATTGGACATGCAAGCGCACGTTCGCACCTTTGAAAGTTTGCAACTTGAAGGTTCGTATGTAAGGGACTTACTGTATATTTGAAACGAGAAGACATGAATGTTCAGTTTAACGGTAATTTGAAAATTTTGTTCTGGGAATTTTACTTATTGCAAGAGATAAAAATATGATAGTAGCATTGGATAAGTGAGCAGGGCAAGCAGGGAGCAGGGTAGAGTGACGTAAACCCGGATTCCATCCCAGCCCTGCTACTTAGCACGTAGGTGGCCGTAATCAAATTTCTTCATCTGTCAACTGGGCATCATACCAGTACCTACTTCAAAGGATTGCTGTGAGGATTGAATTAATGAATATATGTAGCGGGCTTAGAGCAGTGCTTGGCATATAGGAAACAATACGTGTTAGATCTTATTTTCATAATTGTCATTATTTACGGACAAAATGACTGGCCCCTGAAAAAGACAAAAGAATCAGCAGAAAAATAAGTATTCAGATGCAGAATAGATTTAATGAAATGTATAGCTTTCCCATACACTAAAGTGATGAAGAAAATAAAGTGTGATGTAATCTCCCCAATAGCAGAATAATGGGAATTAACAAGATACTGCAGTTCACTCGTTAATCTGGCAGAGATTACAACGAACGGTTATGTTGATAGGATTGTACTTAGATGGATCCTTTACCAATATTCTTTACTATAGTATTTATACTATAAATTTATACTTAGAACTATATGTCCATCCAGGCTTTTAAAAATATTGTGACCCTGTGTCTCCCAGACTTGGTATCCTGTACTTGGGCTTTAACTAGTTACACATTCCCCTGGTAATTCTGAAGGACCTTCCCAAGGACTTTGCCGCTATGGTAGAGGAACACAATGACAGAATTCAAAAGAATTCTGCTTCCTTCCTCCCAACAGTTTCTAAGCTGGCTGACATGAGAAAAGAATACCAACTGCCTCTCTCAGAAATTGGTAAGGTTGAGAACGTCCACGAACAGACTGTGTAGTCAATAGCGGAAAATAAATGTCAATATTTTGAGATATTCAATAAAATTAAACTTTAGCATATAAGGAGAAAACTCTTGCAAAAAGAACGCTTAGGAAACGAACATAATCCTTCAGATCTATGCTGTGCAAAAGTTATACTGAAATATATTATTTGGAATTAGCTAAGCCACCATGGATTTGATTTGACACTAAATGCTTAAAATATTTTACATTTTCTAGTGTCATTATAAGCTAACAGACCATGCAATTGTCTAAATTTAGTCCAGACTCTCCCCTTTCCTCTTGATGCTATTTGTCTTTTGGTCAATAGTGATGCTCTTCACTAGTTAAGCTTTCAAATCTGAATAACTTTGGAAATATAAGAAAAGGACTATTGGCATATTTATGGGGTTCATCAGTATGTTAGTACTTTCTTGAGTACTACGGGGGGGGCAACAAGGAAGTTGAGGCATTGCCCGTGCCTTTGAGGAAAGGACAGAGTAAAGGAAAAGAACATGACAAAAATATAAGGAAAATGCACTAATGTGTGCCAGAGGAAGTAAAGGCTTTGGAAGCAGAGAATACACTCACCGCCCCAGGATGAAAAAAGAAGAGGAGAGACGCCTAAGAGGAAAGGGAGAAGGGGGTGGAATTCTCTCCCTCACCTCCAGAAGCAAGGAGGAAAAAATGGAGCAGTAAGGGCTGCTTGGGTTTATTCATATTTCTGGATAGATTATTACACTGGAATGTGGAAGGCTTATGAGGAACAGAGAGAAAAGGGTCAGTTCATTCGATCATGGAATACGAAATTAGCTAGCAATGAGTCAACTTCATAGGAAAGAATTTATGTGCTTCCAGGAAATTGCCTACATTTGGGACTTAGAGGGGTGAATACATTTATCTTTTTTTGTTTTTCTCTGGGCCAATGTGTGTAGGCATAATAATGCCTCCTCCCCACGAAGGGGTCTGGGTCCTGATCCTGGGACCCTGTGAGCATGTGATGTAGCCAAAAGATAGTCTCTGTGATGCTGTTAGAGAACAAGTTGAGAGGAAGGAGGGGATGCAGGGTGGGTACAGACACAGGGAGACCACGTGAGCCGTGGCAGTAGCTTCTCCTCCCAAGTTCACCTCTCAGGCCTGGGGGGCTCAACCAGAGCCCGTGGAGAGGGAGGTAGGAGTTTCCTCCCTTCTGCTGGGATATGAAGGGGAGAGATAGCCTAAGTGGGCAGCGATGCCAATTTTAACTCTGTTATGGGAAATCTTGCAGTTTTTGTAGCTCCGTAGCATTTTTTTAAAATTATTGAAATACAGTGATTTACAATGTTGTGTTAGCATCTTAAAAGCAATTAACTGATAATGAAATACGTTTTAAAGGACAGGCGGATGGTGCCTGAGATCCTCAGATCACTAGGGTCCAATGAAGTGCGTTTTCTGTTTTGTAAATGGTGTTCATCCCTTTTCTGGGTGATAGACACAGAGTTACCCCACTGGACCAGTCGATGAGGACAAATAACAGCACCTCTAACAGATGCCAGAATGAGTTTAGTTTAAGAAGAATGCCTTCCCAGTGATGGTCCAGCAGTATAATTCTTAAATTTTCATCTTAAATATTTTCCTTTCTAAAAATCTTTAATCATTTGCTTAGTAATAATGGTATAAACAAGTCTGATTTGTTTTAAATAATTCGTGTTGAACAGGAGAACAATTTTCAACTCACTTCTTCTTTGATTTTCCACTTCGTTTCTTACTAGACTTTTCAGGTCAAGAATGTGTGGACTCAGAGCTGGTCTGTCGTCTGATGCCCGGGGCAGACGGCAGGACGGCAGTCTCCCCATTTGTCTGGCTGTCCAACGTAACCAATCAAGATTTGTTTGACATCATTGTGGTAAAAGATGTACGTGAGTGTATGGGTGCATCTTTCTTTTATCTTGTTTATTCATTTAAGAGAAATAATTTTTACACGATGATAGTAGTAGCAAAGTGTCCACTCTACCAAAGCCATATTACTCGTATTCCAGAATAAGAATTCCAGCTTTTCACTGAAGTGGAAGAACAAATCTTTTTTTAAAATACCTGAGTGGTTTTCAAATAGAAAATTAAATTAGGTAAGGAAGAGAATGTTACATTCTCAGTTAATCATCATGTACGGATTATGCCTTACTGTGGGGATCATTACGCCAGAGGCCCTGGCTGCTCACCTGTGGACCAGAGACCAGCACCAGTAGCGTTATTAGCATTACCTGCTGGAGATGCCATCCTATAACCACTGAGTTCCGACGCACATCAACATCGGGCACCCCTGTGATAGGCAGTTTGTGTTTGTCCTTATTTTTGTGATCCTTGCACCTAAAGAAGAAGGTGTGTGATATACAGAGTAGAAATAACAAATATATAACGCACACTTTAATTTTTAAGATGAACACATGAGCCACTGTTTCCTGTCACATGTGATTGGGGGTAATGAGTCTGCCGGCCAGTCCTGCCTGGGGCCCTGGTGACTTATCCACAGCATGTGGAGGGGCAATACATCCCTATTTTAATTTTGGATGGAAGGTTCTAGGAAATATTGCCTTGCTCTTTTTCTTTTAATTGAAGTATAGTTGATTTACAATGTTGTGTTAATTACTGCTGTACAGCAAAGTGATTCAGTTATACATAGATATGCATTCTTTTTTTTATATATTCTTTTCCATTGTGGTTTATCATAGGCTACTGAATAGAGTTCTCTGGGCTATATAGTAGGACCTTGTTGTTTATCCATTCTATATATAAAAACTTATATCTACAACCCCAAACTCCCAATCTATCCCTCCTCCACCCCCCTCCCCCTTGGCAACCATAAGTCTCTTCTCTATGTCCATGCTTCTGTTTCTGTTTCATAGATAGGTTCATTTTTGTCGTACTTTAGACTCCACACATAAGTGATATCATATGATGTTTGTCTTTCTCCGTCTGACTTACTTAGTGTGATAATCTCCAGGTCCATCCATGTTGCTGCAAATGGCATTATTTCATTATTTTTTATGGCTGAGTAAGATTCCACTGTCTATATGTACCACTTCTTCTTTATCCATTCATCGGTCATGGACACTTAGGTTGCTTCCATGTCTTGGCTATTGTGAGTAGTGCTGCTATGAACATAAGGGTGCATGTACCTTTTCAAATTAGAGTTTTGTCTAGAATGGGATTGCGGGGTCATATGGTAGCTCTATTTTTAGTTTTCTGAGGAACCTCCATACTCCTCTCCATAGTAGCTGCACCATCTTCCCACCAACAGTGTAGGAGGGTTTGATGGGCAGTACGTTCTAAATGACTGTGAGGACATCATTGGCCAAAGTCAGTTAATTATATTCTGAAAGGCAGTTTAAGAAAAAATAGATGTATATGGAAAGGGGAATGCTATTCTTGTTATATGTAGCTGATACAAGATAAGTTTGTAAAGCCATGAATACTTTTTCAGGAAAAATGTGTTCAAAAAATTTTTGTAGTATAATTCCGGGATGATAAAAGTGACTGTGACTTCACATTTCTAGTAAATGAGAGACATTATTTCTATGATTTCAGAGTCAATATTTTGAGTATTGATTTTTTTAAACTGATCTTATTTGGTCATTTATATTAAAGTGGAGAAAACCTTAATAAACTGTTTGCATGTTTGACAATACTTCATTAAAATATAATGAGTTATTGTTTTAGTGAGCTAGATGTAAAGAACCAGAATGATCACATTTTATAACAGACTAAGGCATATCTCAAAAGAAAGATACTAACAATCTAAAATCTCTGCATATACTCAGGCTATGTTACAAACGATTCATGTGGATGCAAAAAATATTCCTCTCCTTTGCTTGAATAAATATGATAAGAGTGGAAGGGGATGCCCTCTGAACAGTTACATATTGAACTTCAACAAACACAGCTCCCTGTCGGCGCTGACCAAGGATAACTGGTATGACCTTTTCTGTTTTAACATTCTTTATGTGTTTGTGTAATGAATGCTGTTGCATTATGACTTATGAGAATAATTTCAAGATGCAATAATTTGGGTCATTAAGGTGCAATTTATTTCAAACAGTTTAAAAAACACCTTTTCAAATTATGATTGTGGTGAAGCTCACGTATCATAAAATTGACCATTTGAAAGTGAAGAGTTCAGGGACATTTGATGCGTTCATAATGAACAACGACCGCCTCTATCCAGGTATTAAACATTGTCATTGACCCAAGGGGAAAGTCTGGACCCCTGAAGCAGTGACTCCCCTCCCCTCCCTCAACTCTGGCACCTACTGTTCTGTGTCTGTCTGTTCTCCATCTTGTGGATTTAGCTAGTCTGGGTGATTAATGAATGGAATCATACAATTATGTGACTTTCTGTGTCTGACTTCTTTCACTAGGATATTTCGAGGTTCGCCCATGTTGGAGTGATAGCAGTACTTGACTCCTTTTTATAGCTGGATATTATTCCATTGTTTGTATATATATACGATTTGTTTATCCAATAAATGAACATTTGGGTTGCTTCAACTTTTGGCTCCTGTGAATAGTGCTGCAGTGAACAAGCATGCCCATGTATTTGTTTCAGTGCCTGTTTTCATTTCTTTTGTGTATAAACCTAGGAGTAGAACTGTTGGGTTATGCAGTAACTCCTTGTTCAACTTCTGTAGAACCGCTGAAATGTTTTCCACAGCAACAATTTTACACAACCAACTGCACTGTACAAGGGTTCTACTTTCTCCACAACCTCACCACACTTGTTGTTTTCCTTTTTTATAAAAAATTATAGCCATTCTAGTGTGTGTGAAGTGATCCATATCTCACTGTGGTTTTACTTTACATTTCCCTAAACACTAAACATTTTGAGCTTAATTTTATGTTACGAAAGAGATGTATATAGTCTTTGGAAAAATGTCTATTCAAGTCCTTTGCCCGTAACTCTACAAGTCATTGCCCTCCATACAATTATGTTGTTTATCTTTTGTTGTAGAAGTTCTTTAGATATTCTAATACTAGACTCTTGTCAGATATATGATTTGCAAATATTTTCTCTGACTCTGTAAGTTATCTTTTATTTTCTGGATAATGCCCTTTGATGCACAAAATTTTTAATTTTGAGGAAATCCAACCTACCTAATTCTTCTTTTGTTACTCATCCTTTTGGTGTCATATCCAAGAATTCATTCCCAAATCCAAGGTCATGAAGATTTCTCCCTATGTTTTCTTCTAAGAGCTCTTATATTTAGATTGTTGATCCATTTTGAATAGATTTGGTGTATGGTATGAGATAAGTTTACAACTTCATTCATCTGCATGTGGATTTACAGTTGCCCCAGAACCATTTGTTGAATTCTTTCTCCACCGAATGGGGTTGGTAACTCGTCAGACCTCAGCTGACAGATATGTGGGTTTATTTTTGAATTCTCAGTTCTATTCCGTTAGTCTGTCTGTCTATTTTCATGCCAGTACCAGCCTGTTTTGATAACTATAGCTTGTGAAATGTGTGGGTCTTCCACCTCTCTTTGTGTTCAGTACTGTTTTGGCTATTCAAGGTCCTTTGTAATTCCATATGAATTTGAGGATTGTCTTTTCCACTTCTGCAAAAAAGGCTGTAGGAATTTGGATAAGGATTGCAATGATCTGTAGATCACTTTGGAGTACTATTGGCATCTTAACAAGATTGTCTTTCAATCCATAAACACAGGATCTCTTTCCATTTTTAGGCCGTCCTTAATTTCTTTCTGCAATGTTGTAGCTTCCAGTGTACAAGTCGTTGACCTCCTTTGTTACATTTATTCCTAGGTATTTTATTCTTATGCATGCTATTGCAGTTGGAACTTTTTCCTTAATATTATTTTCAGGAAGTACCTCGCTTTCATGTAGAAACACAAATGGTTTTTGAGTATTGATCTTGTACCCTATGACTTTGCCAAATTTGTTTATTAGCTCTGATAGTTATTTTGTGGATTCTTCAGCATTTTCTACATAGGGGATCATGCCATCTGTGAAAAAAGGAGTTTTACTTGTTCCTTTCCAATTTGAACGCCTTCTTTTTCTTCCTCTTACCTAAGGGCTCTGCCTAGTACTTCCAGTAAAGTGTTGATTAGCAATGGTGAAAGCAGACATCCTTGTTTTGTTCCTGATCTTCAGTCTTCTGTCATTGAATCTGACCTTAGCTGTGAGCTTTTCATAAATGTTCTTTATCATGATGAGAGAGTTCCCTTATATTCTTAGTTTGCTGAGTATTTTTATGAAAGGACTTCTTTTTCAAATGCTTATTCTGCACTAACTGAGGTGATCTGGTGGCTTTTTTCTTTTATTCCATTAATGTGGTGTGTTACATTGATTAGTTTTCTCATGTTGAATCATCCATGCATTCCTGGGGTAAATCTCACTGAGTCATAGTGTGTAATCTTTTAAATATACTTTTGGACTCAGTTTGTTGGTACTTTGCTGAGGATTTTTGCATCTGTGTTCATAAAAGAAGTTGGTCTTTTCCTGTGATGTCTTAGTCTGGTTTTGGTATTAGGGTAAAATGGGCCTCATAGAATGAGTTAGGAAGCATTCCTTCCTCTTCTGTTTTTTTGCAGCAGTTTGAAAAAAATTGGTGTTAATTCTTCTTTAAGTGTTTGGTAGAATTCACTACCAGCTGATCTGGACTTTTGTTTGTTAGGAGGGTTTTGATAACTGACTCAGTTTACTTAATTACTATAGGCTTTATTAGATTTTCTATTTTTTTGAATCAGTATTGGTAATATGTATATTTCTAGAAATTCATCCATTTAACGTAGATTATCTAATTTTTTGTTGTAATGTTATTTGTTGATAATAACCTCATATAATCCTTTTTATTTCTGTAGCATCTTTCCCTATGTTTATTTCTGATTTTATTTGCATCTTCTTTCTTCTTTGTCAATCTAGCTAAAGATTTGGTCAATTTTGTTGATCTTTTCTGAGATCCAACTTTTGTTTCACGGATTCTATTTTCCTATTATTTATTTCATTTTCCACCACACTAATCTTTATTATTTCCTTCCTTCTGCTAGCTTAGATCACACTTGTTTCTCTAGTTCCTAAAGTGTGAAATTAGGTTGCTGATGTGAGATCTTCCATCTTTTTTAATTTGGGCATTAACTGGTATAAATTTCCTTCTGAGCAGCTTCATGTATCCCATAAGTTTTGGTATGCTTTGCTTTTGCTGTCATTTGTCTTTGTTTTCTGATTTACCTATGATTTCTTCTTTGACTCATTGTCTGTGTGCTGTTTAATTTCCATAGAGTTGTCAATTTTCCTATTTTCCTTCTGTTAATGATTTCTAGCTTCATTCCACTGTGCTCTGAAATGGATCTGAAAAGACTTTGTGTGACTTCTGTAATTTTAAATGTATTGAAACTTGTTTTGTAGCCTAACTTATGGTCTCTTCTGGAGAACGTTTGATACGCTTATGAAGGGTGTAATCTTCTGCTGTTGTTGGGTGTGGGCTTTGAAATACGTCTGTTTTTTTTTTTTCCCTGTAATTCATTTCTAATCTCATAGTGCTGTGGTCAGAAAAGATGCTTGATATGATTTCAGTTTTCTTAAATTTACTGAGGCTTGATTTGTGACCCAAGATGTGATCTATCCTGGAGAATGTTCCGTGCGCACTTGAGAAGAAAGTGTGATCTGCTGTTTTTGGATGGAATGTCCTATAAATATCAAGTAAACCTATCTGGTCTATTGTGTCATTGAAAGCTTCTCTTTCCTTATTTATTTTCATTTAGGATCATCTGTCCATTGGTGTAAGTGAGGTGTTCAAGTCCCCCACTATTATTGTGTTACTGTCGATTTCCTCTTTTATAGCTGTTAGCAGTTGCCTTATGTACTGAGGTGCTCCTATGTTGGGTGCATATATATTTGTAATTCTTATATCTTCTTCTTGGATTGATCCCTTGATCATTATGTAGTGCCCTTCCTTGTCTCTTGCAACATTCTTTATTTTAAAGTCTATTTTGTCTGATATGAGAATTGCTACTCCAGCTTTCTTTTGATTTCCATTTGCATGGAATATCTTTTTCCATCCCCTCACTTTCAGTCTGTATGTGTCCCTAGGTCTGAAGTGGGTCTCTTGTAGACAGCATATAGACGGGTCTTGTTTTTGTATCCATTCAGCGAGCCTGTGTCTTTTGATTGGAGCATTTAATCCATTCACATTTAAGGTAATTATCGATATGTATGTTCCTATGACCATTTTCTTCACTGTTTTGGGTTTCTTTTCGTAGGTCCTTTTCTTCTCTTGTGTTTCCCACTTATTGAAGTTCCTTTAGCATTTGTGGTAGAGCTGATTTGGTAGTGCTGAATTCTCTTAGCTTTTGCTTGTCTGTAAAGCTTTTGATTTCTCCATCGAATCTGAATGAGCTCCTTGCCAGGTAGAGTAATCTTGGTTGTAGGTTCTTCCCTTTCATCACTTTAAGTGTATCATTCTACTCCCTTGTGGTTTGTAGAGTTTCTGCTGAGAAATCAGCTGTTAACCTTATGGGAGTTCCCTTGTATGTTATTTGTCATTTTTCCCTAGCTGCTTTCAGTAATTTTTCTTTGTCTTTAATTTTTGCCAATTTGATTACTATGTGTCTTGGCATGTTTCTGCTTGGGTTTATCCTGTATGGAACTCACTGCACTTCCTGGACTTGGGTGGCTATTTCCTTTCCCACGTTAGGGAAGTTTTCAACTATAATCTCTTCAAATATTTTCTCAGGTCCTTTCTCTCTCTCTTCTCCTTCTGGGACCCCTATAATGCGAATGTTGTTGCATTTAATGTTGTCGCAGAGGTCTCTTAGGCTGTCTTCATTTCTTTTCATTCTTTTTTCTTTCTTCTGTTCTGCAGCAGTGAATTCCACCATCCTGTCTTCCAGGTCACTTATCCGTTCTTTTGCTTCAGTTATTCTGCTATTGATTCCTTCTAGTGTAGTTTTCATTTCA